GGGGGGGGGGGGGGGGGGGGCCTCTGCTCAGGTGACCGTTGCCCACAGCAAGACAACTCTCAGGCTTGGTGATAGGAATCAGTGAGTCTGAACAGGTTAGGTGAGAGAAGCTGACTTTTACCTCTGCTAGATCCTGCAGGGAGAGCGTGTGTGTACCTTTAACTAAGGTGGTGTCTTTACTACTCTCTTCAGCTCAGACTGGGCACCAGTTCATTCCACTCACCTACTGGGAGCAGCAGAAACTTACAGACATCGAAGCTCACTGATCTCTCTTCACCTCTCTCTAGCCTACCCTTCACTAACATTTCTCTCTGCAGTGGCAAACTTGCATGTTTATCACTTAATAACTAAAATAAACAGCATTGATGAAGATTTCCTCATTCCAGAATGAAAGCACAATTCTCTTAAGACTCTAGGACAAGCAGAGCAGGAATCCTATATCTTTGCTTGAACTCTAGTGACCACATATTGAGAGCTTAGGAGAGCTGGCCTGGCGCTTAGAATCGGCTATCCATAGGAAGCAAGGAGAGGCTGGGAAAGTAAGGGTTTTACTGCCAAGACCACAATGTCTAACATGGTGCCCAGGCTCCACCAGGGCCAAGATAAACATGGCTCATGCAGCTAGGGCCCAATGCTGCTAACTTTAAACCATACAAGAACTGCTTGTCTTTAGCGCTCAACTGCAAGGAACATAATAAATGCTGGCTGAGGGATGCTTCTGTTCTGGAAAATCCAGGCATCTTAAATACCTTTCCCCACAAGTTAGAAAAAATAAAAATAAAAGAAGCAATGTTTTGGGCATCCAAGACACTCTGAGACTTTTATGGCTCCAAGATACCCGACACACTTAACTTTTATTAACTTTCATTTACAACTTTAGAATGGGCCAGGCATGATGACATACGCCTTTAATCTCAGAATTTGGAAGGCAGGCAGATCTGAGGTTAGCCTGGTCTACATAGCGAGTCCGAGTCCCTGTTTGGACTACCTGCTGCAATGCCGGTCGGTTGGTCAACCGCAAGAAAACATCGCTTCGCAATGAGCAGGTTGAGAAAGCAAATTCGCAAAGCCTTCAGTTTTTAAAAAGACAACTTGATTCTGCCTAAAATGGTCAAGATCATTCACACTCGGTGGTCACACTCGAGTTCTTTTTTTTTTTTCGAGACAGGGTTTCTCTGTAGCTTTGGGGCCTGTCCTGGAACTCGCTCTGTAACCAGGCTGGCCTCGAACTCAGAGACCCTCCTGCCTCTGCCTCCCGAGTGCTGGGATTAAAGGCGTTCACCACCACCGCCCCGCCACACTCGAGTTCTGCAGCTGTGTGGGTCGCGGCAGGGCCGAGGCTGGGTTGCAGAGCACACGCACGGTTTCCCAGGTGGAGCGGACTACAAACCCGGCTTGAGCCACGGAACACCTAACCACCGGGCACAGTGGCAAGGCCTGATACGCACGCGCGCCAGGGCACTTCGGGTACTATCTCACCACACCATCCGCTTCCGCGGCCGGCGCCAAATAAGTCTCCAAGCCCGCCCGGCCCGTGCGTGCGCGGCCTTGGTGTCTGCGTCACTAGGAAGCGCGCGCCCGCGCCGCCGCCGCCGCCGCCGCCGCCGCCGAATCCCCAACAAGGAGCGAAGCCTGCGGCCGCCACCGCCGCCACCCGCCGCCGCACCCGTCACAGCCGGGCGCCAGAGCAGGCCGGTGTGGGCCCAGGTAAGCGGCTTCGGCGTGTCCGCGCACCCCCGCGGCGAAGCCTCTCGCGCCGCTCACGCGCCGCCGTCCAGTCAGGGGTCCCTGCGGAGCGTCAGGACGTTACGGCGGGGGGAGGGGAGGCCGGGGGAGGGGCGGCGGGCGCGCGAGGGCGGCGGCGGCGTCAGGCGCGGCGGCGTCAGGCGGGCGGGCGCGGGCGCCTGGCGCGAGGGATCGCGAAGGCGGCTGTGCTTCCGGCGTCCATCTTGGCTGCGCCGGAGGCCGGGTCGCGTCGTCAGGGAAAGCCGGAGCGGAAAAGGGCCGTGGGGTGGTGGTGGGGATCCATCGGTGGGCGCCAAATGGGTCGGGTCTCCCGAGGGAGGGTGGGAAGGCGGTGGGAATTTATCCCGGGACCTCGGCTCGGAACGGAACTCACGGAGACTTATGAGCGTAATTGTAATTCCCCCTTCAGTGGAACCATGTCACTGTGGACCTGTTGGTGGGAACCGCAGTAGGGACCCGTTTGTAAAACTGTGTGGTTGGTGGGAACCACCACGTAAGAACTCATCAGTAGGAACTGAATGGATAATCTGTCTCATCGGTGGGAACCGGATCAGTTTGATCCGTATTTAGTCATGATTGGTTACATCTTTAACTATTATTTAGTTGATAACTTTTTTTTTTTTTTTTTTGCTGAACCGGTTCTCTTGCAAACATTTCAAATACAACAGTTTCATCACTATTCTCACCAAGTTAAATGTAGGACTGCCCGCTTAGCTTTTTTTAGCTTGTTTTTTTTCACAGGAAGTATGCAAAACTTTTTGGAAAGATTCTGGAGTACACATACGTCACATACATACATATATACCATTTGGACATATGTAGAATGCAAAACACATGTCCATGTGTGACATGTGACAGACACACACACAGATCGATTTAGAGCACCAAGGAAAACGAATTTATACCTAGGCCATAGATTTACCCACTTTTTTTGTTCTTTGTTTTGTTTTTGTTTTTCGAGACAGGGTTTCTCTGTGTTGCCCTGGCTATCCATTTGTAGACCAGGCTGGCCTCGACCTCACGGACTGCTCCTGCCTCCCAAGTGCTGGGATTAAAGGCCTGCACCATACTGCCCTGTAGACTCACCTACCTTATGACTCACCTGGAAAGGGAGGATATTGAGGTGTCCCTTCAGTGCTAGGGTCCTGCCATACGGTGAAGTTTACTGGTCCCCTGCCTCGCTCCATTACTCCTCTTCCTACACAGAGAAACCTTGTCTCAAAAAAAAAAAAAAAAAAATTAAAATGTTTGTTGAGGCTTGTTTAGAGGTCTTTGCTTTGAAGTCTAACTCTCAAATAGTACATTAGTGAAAAATTTTGTTCCAGAAATAGGAAGTCTGCCAATGTACATGGATTCCTGAGAAGCATTTGAAGATAGTCTCTACAGACCTGGATTGGTCCTATCCTGGGGATGGGGGTTTCCATAAACTCCTTCATAGCTGGAAATATTCACATGTAAATATGCCTTGATTTAATGCACCTTGTTCTGTTGGACAGCTTCCAGATTTGTATTGGAGCAATAATAAAAGGCTGAATTTAAGGATGTTCTGAAATTTTTCTCAGTGTTGGGGATGGAACTTCTGGCCTCATGCAGGGCTTCACAAGTTTCAAAATATTTTTTTCTGGTTTTTGTTTTTAGTACTTCTTTTTCCTTCCCTTGTCTTTTTAGCTTTTTTTTTTCTTCTTCATTGCTCATTTTCTATACCTTTTTAGTCAAAAAAGAAATGCCGCTTTATCTATGTTTTCTAATTGTTAGTATCCTGTGCCTAGATATATTCTGTTGGAGCTGGGGAAATGGCTCAGTGGGTAAAAGTGCTTGCTTTGCAAGCATGAGAACGTAAGTTCAAATCCCCAGAACTCACATAAAAACTGGACCTGTAGCAGGAGTGTCTGATATTAGCCCATTGCAGGGCAATGGGAAGTGGAGACAGGAGAATCCTGAGAAGCTCATGGACTAGCTGGCCTAGCATATGAAGCTGTGGACAACACAGAGATCCTGTTTTGAAACAAAGTGGAAGTTGAGGGCCAGCACCTCTGACTCATGCACAAGCAATGTGGCACACATGCTCTTGCATTCAAATTCTCTGCTCTCCTCCACACAGCGAAACAAAATATATTCTACTTATATGTTCAGTGTGTTCTCTGTAGGAAAATCAATGTTTTTCCTTGTGGGTTTGGCTCTGAATAATTTTCTTTCTTACTCTAACTCAACCAAATCCTCTGTGGTGGGGCTCATTCTTACCAACTTGTGATTATTTTGGAAAGTGGCCCCCTAGTTTCTTCTTGCTTCTTTCTCTTTGTGAATGTTTCCTTGCCACAATCCTTGCTTTTAGTCAGCCTACATTTCTTGGTTCCTTGGATCTTTGGATCAAGGATACTACAGGGACTGGATATTGTTGGTGTTTGGTAGGAATCCTTCAGAGACCCAGGTCCAGCCCAGAACCAAGATCATTGATTGGCATTTTACAGGAGGAAATAAACTAGGAAATCTGACAGCTTTGCATTCTTCTCTCTAGAAGTTCATAAAAAGCCTTCATGTGCTTAGGCTTGGAGTCAGGTGCGGTGGTGGTGGTGTGCATATCAGTACTTCCTGCACTCAAAAGGCTGATGCAGGAGGGTCACAGATCTGAAGCTAATTTGGGTATAACAAGATCCTCTCTCTCTTAAAAAAAAAGTGTTGGGGATATAAGGTTGAATATATAATTTAACAAAGAATTTGAGCTCTCTAAGGGGATGTGTTGTGACGAGCTGTTTAGTTAGTTGGTTCTATCACCGAGAGTTTAATTGTAGAGGCTGGATTATGGTTGTGGAAGTGGAGTCTGAGAAATCTTCTGTCCTTGGACATACTTGGTGAGTGCTAGTCATTAGTAATTATTATGATAAAAATCAAGTTCTGATCAAGGCCTGATAGCTCACACACCTTTTAAAAATAGATTTATTTTATGTATATGAGTGCTTTATTGACTTTATGCAAGAAGAGGGCATCAGATCCCACTATAGATAGTTGTGAGCCATCACGTGGTTGCTGGGAATTGAACTCAGGACCTCTGGAAGCGCAGCCAGTGCTCTTAACCATTCAGCCATCTCTCCATAGCTCACACACCTTTAATCCCTGTACTGGAGAGGCAGAGACAGGCAGATCTCTGAGAGTTCAAGGCTAGCTTGGTCCACATAGTGAGTTCCATCCAGGTCAGCAAAGACTAAATAGTGAGACCCTGTCTTAAAAAGAGAAAGAAAATTCTGAGGCCAGGGATCCTCAGGCAAGGGCTCTTACTGTTAAGCCTGACAATGTGATTTTGATTTCCTAGGATACTCAAAGTAGGAAGAGAAAATTATCACCAATTTCTTTTCTGGACGCCACGTTCTATGACACAAGCATGTACTTTCACACACAAATAAATAATCAGCATTAAAAAACAAATTCTGAGCTGGATGTGGTTGCGCATGCCTTTAATCCTAGCACTCAGGAGGCAGAGGCAGGTGGATCTGAGTTCAAAACGAGTTTGGTCTACTAGCGAGAAAGAGTTCCAAGACAGACAGGGATACACAGAGAAATCCTGTCTCAAAAAACCACACACATACAAACATACAACACATACACATAAAAACTAATTTTTTTCTCCTAACAAATATTTAGTTTTTGAGACAGGGTATATCTGTGTAGCTCTGGCTGTCGGTACTAGCTCTGTAGACCAGAGCTCACAGAGATCTGCCTGCCTCTGCCCCTCAGATTCTTTTTTTTTAAGTCACTTCCAAGGGATTAAAGGTACTATGACCAGCAAGTTTCTAATTTATTTTTTGAGGCTTACTTATTACTATCATTATTATTATTATTTCTGTCTGTCTTATCCCTCTATCTCTGTCTCTGTGTATGAGCTCACCAAAAGAGAACATTCCAGCCCATGAATTGGTAACCAAACTCTACAAGAGCAAGAAACACTCCTAACTCTGAACCATCTCTTCTATCCCTTAGCAAGTATTTATGGTCTCAGTCTTCTAGCCTAAATATATAATCCTAATGGAATTATCTATTATAATAGCTTTAAACTTTACTTTTTTTAAAGACAGGGACTCATGTAGTGTAGGTGGTCTTGAATTCCTTATATATCAGAAGATGACCTTGATCTTCTTGCCCTCTTCTGAACTCTGTGATACATACATACATACATACATACATATTTGCAAACAAAATACTCACAAACCTAAAATATATCTTTTTTAAAAAAGTAGAGGGCAGAGAGAATGCTATGGGTTTGCTCTCTGGTGTAAGTGGACTGGACTTTTCTCTCTCCCCCGCCAGTTCCCAAATAACTGACCCAGGGACTAAATGTTAATTATAAGTGCTTGACCAATAGCTGAGGCTTGTTACTAGATAATTCTAACATTTAAATTAACTCATGTTTCTTATCTGTGCTTTGCCACATGGTTTGGTACCTTTTCTCGGGATGGCATGACCATCTTGCTTCTCTCTGCATCCTCGGACTCTGCCCTTCTTCCCAATGACCTCCTAGTCTGTTCTCTCACCCAGTCTCTGTCTGTCCAGTTATAGGCCAGTCAGTTCTCTATTAACCAATGAGAGTAATACATATTCACAGTGTACAGCAGGATTATCCCACAACACTCCAGGACATAAATACACACATAAATAACAATTGTTCTTTACTTTGTAGTCCCTTTGTTTCTTATGAGAACTCCAGTTACCATGTGGTAAAGCAAACCTTTTTACCTGGAATTTGGAGATCTATCTTTCTTTCTTTCTTTCTTTCTTTCTTTCTTTCTTTCTTTCTTTCTTTCTTTCTTTCTTTTTTCAGCTTGATTCTGACTGGGATATGCCTGTTGGAGGTTTGCCAAGCTTCTGGGATAGGCATGTTTGTCACTAAATTTGGGGAACATTTAGCTTTTTTTTTTCTTTTTGATATGTCATCCAGTTAACCTTGAATTTTTAGCAACCCTCTTGCCTTTTCCTCCTGGTGCTGAGGTTACAAGTGTGCAAATACGCAGCAACCATGCCTGGCTATGTTCCGCAAAGTATATTTTAATATTTTTTTCAGTGTAATGCTTTTCTGCTTTGCCCTAGGACTCCAGTGGCACACACTTTGCTGCACCTCTGTGAAGCTCAGTTCAGCCTGCCTTCCAGCCTGTTTGTTCCCCAGTGCTCAGATTGGACAGTTTCTGAAGCTCTGTCTTATGTTCCTGACTTCTTCTTATGTTGTCTCCATGCTACCATGGAGCCCATCCAGTTTTATTTTGTATTTATTTTTATTGATCTTTTATTTTTCACACACACACACAAACACACACACACATTTTTTATTCTTAGACTTTTGGTTGGTGGTAACTTATGTTTTGTATCCAGACAGACCTCTTCTCAGGCATATTTGGCTTACTCCTGGAGGATGGTACACCTAGTTGTCTACAGGTCTCTGTTGACTGTAGCATTAAGTGTCTCTTGATTTTTCACTTGAGAGTAATCAGACTTTCCTGGTTCTTTATATATCAAGCAGTTTGTTGAAGAAGGACACTTAAAAGAAGTCCCACACTAGCTCAGAATTGAGAATGATAGAGGGTTATTTATTTAGGGAGGACTCACAAGTCACAAACCTCTGCTGGAATGGAGGACAGGGAGAGAACAGCAACTGAATCCCCTAGCCAGAAAAGAGGTGGAAAGTGTGCTTTATATCAGCATAAATAATTTAGTATAAGAGGTCACGCCCAAGTGGGTGGGTAACTTAAAGGCTACTGGCAGAGGAATTCCTACAGCAGTTTGTTTGTTTTGAGATAGAGTTTCTCTGTGTAGTCCTGGCTGTCCTTGAACTTGCTCTGTGGAAAAGGCTAGCCTTGGATTTAAAGGGAGTCACCTGCCTCTGCCTCCTGAGTGCTGGGATTATACACCCAGCTGTCAATCAGTTTTGAATTACACCTGTAAACAATAACATTAAAAATGTTATTGTATGAGGTTGTGTGTTCAGTGTCTCAGAGTGTGGACATTTTTCCTGATGTACGGGCTGGACCTAGTTGGTCAGGCCAACTGGTTTATTTTAAACTTTTTAAAAATTGCATTTATTTATTTATTTAGAGTGTGTGTGTGTGCATGCATGTATACATGTCCACATACATTTTGTATGTGTGGTTGTCAGAAGATAACTTGTGTCAGTCAGTTCTCTCCTCCATAGACAGCTCTCTGGGATCAAATTTAGGTTGTCAGTGTTGGCAAAGGTCTTTTTATTCCCTGAGCCATCTGGTCAGCCCTGAGTGAGACAGGATCTCACTCTGTAATCCATTCTGACCTCTCTCTCGGGATCCTTTTTGCTCATCCTCCTGAAATCTGGTATTACAGGCATGTCCACCACACCCAGCCAGGGAGCTCTTCACTCCGCCATGCTGTGTTCAGGTCCATCTTCAGAGCCTCTGCAGTGACCCTGGCACCCACCCTGTGAATACTGTCCATGGCCCAGTCTGAGCCTAAGTGTAACTGTCTTAGTTTTTTGTTGTTATTGTGATAAATACCCTGACAAAAGCTTCGTTTAAGGGAAAAAGGATTTTTTTTTTTTTTTTTTTTTTTTTTGGTTTTTCGAGACAGGGTTTCTCTGTGGCTTTGGAGCCTGTCCTGGAACTAGCTCTGTAGACCAGGCTGGTCTCGAACTCACAGAGATCCGCCTGCCACTGCCTCCCGAGTGCTGGGATTAAAGGCGTGCGCCATCATCTCCCGGCTAGGGAAAAAGGATTTATTTCAGTTCACACAGCAAGAGCTTGAAGTGGCTAGTCATAAATAAAAAGCAATTAATGCATGTGTGTTTATTAGCTTCCTTTTTCTGCCTATATAGTGCAGAATTCCCTGCCCAGGGAATAGCCGCATCTATAAATAAGATGGATCTTCTAATATCAGTTAAGGTAATCAAGATAATACCCATCAGGCATGGGCAGAGGTTCATCTCACAGGTGATTACAGATTCCATCAAGTTGAAAGTTAACTACTGCAGCAGTCTGCCCTGTAGGTCAGTACTGAAAGCTATCAGTTTTCCATGTAGGCTTAGGTCCATACGTGTTACATCTCAGGATGTTATATGCATTCTTGTGTAGGCTTGTCTATACATCCTTCCTATCTATACCATGTCCCACCCACTCTAACTCTAGGGCCTCTTTTTTGTCCTCCGGCTAGAAACCCCTGCTGTGCTTGCTCCAACATTTCATGACTGGGTCCATCATGGGCCTGGCATAGAGCTTGGGGTATGAGAGAGTACAATCTCCAGGCTCTAAGCCAGTCCTCGAGTGAGGAGGCATTCCTTCTGAATTTGGTGCTTTTGAAGTTACTGCCACCATCACAGAGTTTGAGCTTGAGTTTGCGCAGAGCAGGCCCAGCAAAGACAGAAACTAATAATAATTATTATTATTAGCAGTGCGTTTTCTCCTTTCTGTCTTGTGTGGATTTCACTACACTTTCCTAAGGTCAGGTGCTTCTTATCTACACTTGGGCTCAGACCACTTTTGAGTTCAGCCAGGAGATAAAGAATAAAAAGTAGTAATTGGGAAGCCCGCCTTCAGGAAAATCACCCAGAGTCTGAATTCCTTCCATATTCTGCTGCTTGCTGTGTCTGAGTTTCCAGGTCCACATGGATTGAGTGGAGGTGTGTGACCCATCTATTGGGGGGGGGGGGAAGATTGGGTTTATTTATGGCATCTACCAATCCAGGGCCCAGGGGCTCCTGCATTGCCGCCATTTCTTGTCAGAGAGCATTAGGTGGCAACTCGGAGGAGAGTCTTCGGTGATATTGAATACTGTCAACTGCTGTGTACTGTGGTAGCAAAAAAAAATTCTTTTTCAGTGCTGGAGATAAAATCCAGGACCTTGCACATACTTGGCAGGGCTCTCTTATTAATCTACACCTCAGCCCTCAACTGTTCTGTTATGCCAGTATGGAAACTATAACCTGTGCCCTGCTTTGTTCTAGGATTTGAGACCCTGGAGGAGCAACACTGCTGACCGCAAGCATCTTCTTCCACTAAGCATGGCGACCCCAGATGTGAGCGTCCACATGGAAGAGGTGGTGGTTGTGACAACTCCAGACACTGCAGTTGACGGCAGTGGTGTGGAGGAAGTGAAGACAGTGCTTGTAACAACAAATCTAGCCCCTCATGGGTAAGAACTAAGCCTTGGTCCTGCCAGGTGTAGGGGTGAGCGTCCAGATTTCTGTCCATACAAGGTTCTGAGACTGGACGCAGCAAAGGTGAAGTACAGACGGTGATTGCAGTTCACCATTGTAGTGTGGTTCTAGATCTCTGGGTGATTGCTCTTTCCATAAATGGAACAGTAGAAACTGAATATTTTCTTTATCATCTCTTGTTCTAGAGGTCAAAATCGATAATTAGTTGGTCAAAAAGTCACATTTAACCAAGCCTTTTGCCTCTTATATACAGAATTTTATATACAGAATTGTGAGGAGGTAGCGGGATAACTCCTGCCCTGACAAGGGGTAGGGAAAGGGTAGCAGTCAGTGGCTGTGGGATTTCTTATTCTTTCTCCCCTGAGAGACTTGGTCTCTGGGCTTTTGGCTTGTCTTTGCTGAATCTTGTGTAGTATTGTCATACTGAACTTAACTTTTCCTGGAGCCTGGGTGAGCTTTTGGCTCACTTGTTGACAGTGAATATTTAAGAGGAAGGTTGTAGACCTCTTCTTGCTGCCCTCTCTGTTGAGCAGGCTGTTCTTCTCATAGGCATGTGTTGCTGTCAGCTGCAGAATAGGAATCTGAGCTGTTTCAGAGGTCAGACACTGCCTTCCTCCTCAGGGAAAACATTGAAGCTGGTGTGCCTAGCTGTGCAGGACTGACTTAGGGTGGTTGTGAGTTGAATTATGTGTGATCCTCCCCTGCTTTGTGAACATAGCAGAAGACCCTGTCTGTAAAGTAGGACCTTCCAATAGCATTTCCAATGAGGAGTCTCCTTCTGTTTGTTTCTTTCTCTCTCTCCCTTTCTTCCTTCCTTCCTCTGCCTGTCCCTTCCTTCCTTCCTTCCTTCCTTCCTTCCTTCCTTCCTTCCTTCCTTCCTTCCTTCCTTCCTTCCTTCCTTCCTTCCTTCCTTTCTTTCTTGCTTTCTTTCTTTCTTTCTTTCTTTCTGGTTTGGTTTTTCGAGACATGGTTTCTCTTTGTAGCCCTGGCTGTTCTAGAACTCACAGAGATCTGTCTGCCTCTGCTTCCCAAGTTCTGGGATTAAAGGTGTGTGTTACCACCACCTGACTTTTTTTCTTTTTGAGACAGATTCTTTTTATAGCCCTGGCTGTCTTGTATAAATTTACTATGTAAACCAGGTTGGCCTCAAGCTCATAGAGATCTGCTTACCTCTGCCTCCCATATGCTGGAATTAAAGTGCTACTATATGCAGCCCACTGAGTCTCCTTTGATTTATATCATTGTCTTGATATATGGGTTGGATGTTTCCCGGGTATATATTTTAGGTATACTGTATTTTCTGACACCCCCCCCCCCATTGATCTTTTCATACCCTTATCCAAAAGCCATACTCACCTTTTCCCTTAGTGTTGTAGGAACCCGCCCAGACTTGAAATAACCACACAGAATCTGTATTAATTAAATCACTGCTTTGCCTATTAGCTCTAGCTTCTTATTGGCTAGCTCTTAAATATTAATTTAACCCATTTCTATTAGTCGGTATAGTGCCACGGGGCTGTGGCTTACCTGTAAGGTTCTGGCCCATCTGTCCCCAGCCGCTACATGGTGTCTCCTCACTCTGCTTTCTTTCTCCCAGCATTCAGTTTAGTTTTCCCTGCCTAGCTCTGTTCTACCCTACTATAGGCTCAAAGCAGTTTCTTTATTCCTTAACCAGTAAAAGCAACACATATGCAGAAGGACTTCCCACATCACCTTAGATTTGGGGTAACCTGTGGTAAACAGTGTGGCTGTGACCTTAGTACCAGGGTGCTAGCATGTCGCCCCCAATGGTCAGTCCTTTTGTAGAAAGGAGGCTGTGATTCCTCCTTTGGAAGAATCCACATAGCCCCCAGGAGATCTGTCCTGAAGATTGGGGAACTTTTTTTTCTGACCTTGAACTCACAGAGAGAACTTTGCATTTTTGCATTTTTTTTAAAGATTTATTTATTTATTATGTATTTATTATGCCTGCAGGCCAGAAGAGGGCACAGATCTCATTACAGATGGTTGTGAGCCACCATGTGGTTGCTGGGAATTGAACTGAGGACCTTTGGAAGAGCAGGCAGTGCTCTTAACCACTGAGCCATCTCTCCAGCCCTTGCATTTTTGATGAGAAGCTATATCCATTATCAGACTAGTTGGAAATTGAGATTTAACTTTTTTTTTTTTTTTTTGGTTTTTCGAGACAGGATTTCTCTGTGGCTTTGGAGCCTGTCCTGAAAGTAGCTCTGTAGACCAGGCTGGCCTCGAACTCACAGAGATCCGCCTGCCTCTGTCTCCCGAGTGCTGGGATTAAAGGCATGTGCCACCACCACCCCACCCGGCAGAACGTATAATTTTTATGTGATATAGGAATAGAAATGCCAATTTATTCACCTCTTTGCTGAGAGTTGGAGAGATAAGTTTACAGCTTGTGCTGCAGAGGGTCTGTACTACACCCATGGAGGTACTTCTACCCTCAATCTTCACTCTGGTTTCCTCGGCCATTTCCAGCTAATGCTGACCCTTGTATGAGTTTTCTACTGACTCCCAAGTTGGTAGCTATAGTCTCTCCTAAATGGCACAGTGAGGGGTTTCAGGATCTCTTTCCCCCACTCCTGACTTCCTTTCTTGTAAGAGTTTGTTTTGGACAGGGTGTACATCTGGTTCTGTCATTGTCCTCTGCTTTGTCCAAAGTTCTGGCTGAGGATGATAGCTTCCTTTCCAAGTTCCTGTAGACTTTCTGGAGTCTGGGTGTTCCCATTTAATATTACTGTTTATATCAAAGTCATTCCTTCTTGTTGTTGTTATTGTTGTTGTTTTTGAGACAGAGTCTGTTTAAATCTGTGACTCTCAACCTGTGGGTTGTGACCCCTTTGGGGCTTGATTGGCCTTTTCACAGGGGTTGCATTATCAGCCTGTTTATCAGATATTTACATTATTATTCATAAAAGTTGCAAAATTACAGTAATTAAATAGCACTGAAAACAATTTTATGCTTGGGGGTCACTGCAGCATGAGGCACTGTATTAAAGGATCTCAGTATCAGGAAGATTGAGAACTACTGCTTTAAGAAGTCCTGGCTGGACTATTTATGTACATCAGACCTGCCTCTGCCTCCTGAGTGCTGAGACGAATGGTGTGCACCACAATGCCTGATTTAGAGCCATTCTTAATGTCTCAAAAGGCAAAGCCGGGCGGTGGTGGCGCATGCCTTTAATCCCAGCACTCGGAAGGCAGAGACAGGCGGATCTCTGTGAGTTCGAGGCCAGCCTGGTCTACAAGAGCTAGTTCCAGGACAGGAACCTAAAGCTACGGAGAAACCCTCATCTCGAAAAATCAAAAAAAAAAAAAAAAGTCTCAAAAGGCAGATTGCAAGCCAGATGGTGATAGTGCATGTGCATGTGCATGTGCATGTGCATGTTTTTAATCCAAGCACTCGGGAGGCAGAGACAGGCGGATCTCTGTGATTTCGAGGCCAGCCTGGTTTACAGAGTGAGTTCCAGAACAGCCAAGGCTACACAGAGAAACTCTGTTTTCAAAAACCAAAAACAAAATAATTAATTAATTAAAAATAAAACTAGTTCCCAGTTTGTGTTTCTGTTTAACTCCCATTTCTGACCTGGTTTAAGGCAAATGACTCTTGGTGATCGGGAAGCAGTGAGCAGTAGCTTCAGGTACCCCACAGGGGTGCGGCTAAGCCCTGCTTCTGAGATGCTGGGGTGGAGCTCCTGGTACTTAAACCCAGTGAGGGGAGCGGTCAGGCTGGAGGCTGTGTGGGGCTGTGTGTACGTGTCAGGTAGGACCCAGCTGTGGGTTCCAGGCTCCCTCTTCTCTGTAGTGAGTAGCCCATGCTTTAACCCTGAATAGCCTCCTTTTCCTGTATTTCTCCTCTCCTCTGAGACAAGGATATTGTCCTTTCTAGGGATGTGTGGCAGGTCTGAGAGTTCTCAAGCCACACTTGTTATCCACACTGCATTCACTGCTGTAGACATCCTTTCCAGGACCTGGCTTTCTGATGCTGCCACATGTTGGTGCCCCGCCCTTCGGCCTTCTCTTGTTCTCAGGGATCATCCGTGCTGCACACTACCTTTGTTTTCCTTACCTCCTAGAGACCTTCTTAATTAATTTTTGTTTGTATGGGTGTCTAGCCTGCCTGTATGTCTGTGCCTTTTTAGTGCATTGCCAGGAGACGGTGTTGAATCCCATGGAACTGGAGCTACAGACAGCTGTGAACCGCAATGTGGGGGCTTGGGATTGAGCCCAGGTCCACTAGAAGAGCAGCAGTTCTTAACTTCTGGGTCACTGAGGGATCCCTAGTCTGGGCCAAGCCCTGACCTCTGATGAACTACATGCAGGCTTGCCTAGAAAATTGCCCATTGCTTGTGTAGTAATTGTGGACATTTTGTAGACTAGAAGACTATCTAGCCACAGGAAAAAGAAACCTACAACTGTGCAAGCAGCTGTGGATGACAGAGACCTGTTGGTAAAGCGGTTTCAGAGCCTGATAGTTGGCTTCTTTGTTCCTAGACCATAGGGAGGTAGAAGGGTGAATGGAGATCAAGGGCACAGATGCTCATCTCAGGACAGCTAGGAGACAGAAAATGGAAGAGCCAGGGACAAGGTATGTCCTTCCAAAGCACACTCCCAGGGATCTACTTCCTTTAGACTCCATCTTTTCTTTCTATCACCTCTCAATAATATCATCATATTATCATCCATCAAGTGATTAATTTATTGATAAAGTCAGGGCCTTTATGATCCAGTCACTTCCCCAAAAGCTCTAGCTCTGAATACTGCTCTATCGGGAACTAAGCTTTCAACACAAACCTTTTGGGCAAGCTACGTTATGTCTAAACCGTGATGTGTGCCCTCTTGGGGTTCTCTAGCTATGCTGGAATGCTGCTGTTTCCCACAAATATCCTGGTGGTAGATACTTCCATCTTTGGCCCATCTAGATGAAAGTGGTTTCTCACTCATCTTTTTTTTCTCCCAGTGCTGGAGATTGAACCCAGGCCCTTGATAACACTAGGTAAGCACTCTACTACTGAGCATGTCAGTTCTCACCATATCCTCATTCGCGTTTCTTAGGAATTGGAAGCAGTCTCCTCACAGGTTTCTCATGGCTCTGGTCTTGGACCTTGGACTGTCCTCCAACTATTCATGTGTTCTCTCTTTTATAAAGTCGCTCATGCTGTTTTTTGCCCCATGCTAAAAGGGTCTTTTTGTTGTTTTGTTTCAATTTATTATGTGTGCCGTGGTGTTTGTGTGTGGAACTCAGAGAGAAACTCTGAGTAGTTGGTCTTCTGCTTTGACCTGGGTTCTCGGGATTGATCTCAAGCATCAAGCTTGCATAACAAGTGTGCCTTTACTGGTAATTTTATTTATTTTGGGATAGAATATGGTGACATATGCCTTTAATCCCAGCACTTGGGAGACAGAGGAAGGTAGATCTCTGTGAGTACAAGGCCAGCCAAGACAGATTTTTACCTTTTTATTGTGTGTGTATATGTGTTCACCTGCATGTATTCAAGCGTGCCATTCGTTTGGTACTCATAAAGGTCAGAGAGGGTACTGGGGCCCCTGGAACTGGAGTAACAGGTAGTTGTGAGCCACCATGTGGGTGCTGGGATGGATCAAGGTCCTCTGTAAAAGCAACAAGTTCTCTTAACCATTGAGCCATCTCTCTAGCTCCTAATTTTATTTATTTACTTATATTTTAAATTTTGGAGGAAGTTTAAGGTAGGGTCTTGGCTATGTAGCCCTAACTGGCCTGGGAAGAGCTAAGGTGGACCAGGCTTGTCTGGAACTGGTAGTAATCCCCGTTTCTGCTCTTGAGTATTGAAACGATTGTGTGTGTGTGTGTGTGTGTGTGTGTGTATTTATACATATGAAGTCAGAGAACTTCCACATTTGATCTGAGGCTGTCAGGTTTAGTGGTAACTGCTGAGCTATCTCACTAGCCCCAGCTTCTATTTTTGTTTGTTTATTTTAAAATAGGATCTCTTTTTCCCCCTACATTTTGGAGGTTTCTTTTATTTATTTGTTTATTTTATGGGCATTGTTGTTTTGTCTGAACATATGACTGTGAGGGTGTCAGCAGGTCCCCTAGAACTAGAGTTACAGAAAGTTGTGAACTGCTTTATGGGTGCTGAGAATTGAACCCAGGTTCTCTGAAAGAGCAGACAGTGCCCTTAACCAGTGAGCCATCTCTCTGCGAAATAGGATCTTTTGTAGCCCAGGATGGCCTCAAGCTTACCGTATTTCTAAGTATGACCTTGAACTTCTGATTATTCTGCCTTCTGGTAATACAGGCGTGTACCACCATGCCCATTTTATGTGGTACTAGGAAATCAAATTGGGGTCTTTGTGCATGCTAGGTAAGCAGTCTACCAGCTGAGATGCATCCCATCCCCAAATATTTTTATTTTTAATCCAACGGTATCCTTTTTTATGATTCTGGATTTTGTATATAAGAAAAAACCTTGACCATTTTATAACTACTACTATTAATCATCTTTTTTAAAAAATTCCATACTATAGGGTTTCACCTTTTGCCTTTACTTTTAGTTTGCTCATAATTTATTTTGGTTTGAGATATGGGTTAATGAAGATAAATTTTTTTCCTCTTTCAAAACTTTTGTATTTTCTGAGAATATGGCTCTGTAGAACATTTGCTTAGTATGCTTGGTGGCCTGGGTTTGAGCTCTAAAACTATATAAAATGTATATTTTTAGCAACTTTGTGTAACAGTATGAAATTATAATATTGGAAACAGAAAACATTATTAATTAAAGAAATTATGAACATTGTTGCTTCTGTAAGTTCCTCACATTGGCTTTGCTTGTCCATGGACACTTGTCCGGGCACCTGTGGAAGGCAAACATGGAGCAGAGAATGCAGGCTACATTTTCTCCTGAGGGGGAGGTAGGCACTTGTACCTTCTTCTCTGACTGAATAGCCACCACAACTTCTGAATATAGATAGAAAATTATAATTGTTTTGTCAGCAATGAGACTCATCCTTCTACACTCTAGGTGTGCCAGGGACTGCAAACTGTGTACTTGGTCATTCTGATGTTCTTTTTCTCTGTCTACCAGGGGTGACTTGACAGAAGATAACATGGAAACAGAAAATGCAGCTGCTGCAGCTGCTGCAGCCTTCACAGCCTCTTCACAGCTCAAGGAAGCAGTGTTAGGTAGGAAATGCCATTGGCTGGGAAACTGTATTAGGTGGGAAGCCTGCCTTCTGTTGGTTGTGAGGACCTGACTGTTCCACCATTGAGGTAACAGCCAGGGCTAGCTATGCCCTTGTCTGGGCTGTTTCCCAACATATAAGAGACCAGGTCACAGGTCTTCTTAAGAGGGAGGGGCACATTGTATCTTAAATGAGAACTACTACCAGCCACTGGTAGAAAAAAGAAAGAGTCAACCTCAAATCTTGCAGCTTTCTCCTCTTTGGTATTTTGTTGTCTTGCCACTGCCTTCTCCCTGTTTCTTTTGTTTACCAGTAAATTATTGTAGGTGTTCTTTTATTACCTATGGGGCCTGAGTTGGGATACCTAAGACTTGCCTCCCTAGCAGTGTTTCAACTATACTTTAATTTTGTCTTCTAACATGGCTCTTCAACTGGTCATTGTTTAATGACCTTATATTAATATTGTGGTTAATAGTTGCTGATAAGTAGTTTAGTCTTTTTTGTGGATTCATCTGGAATTCTCCGTGGGATTGATGGGTACCCCTGCTTCTGGGCTCTCTTTCCGGCCTTCTTGGATGTCAGTTTGGTTTCAGGTTGACAGCTACTTTCCACATTTGCAGGAAGTGCTTTGGAAAGTTTGTAACTGATTTTCTGTTTCTACTTTTTCTTGTCCATGTGTCTGTGAGAAGTGAAGATGGCTGAAGAGGGGGAGAACTTAGAGGCTGAAATTGTGTACCCCATCACTTGCGGAGACAGCAGAGCTAACCTCATTTGGAGGAAGTTTGTGTGCCCTGGCATCAATGTGAAATGTGTTCAGGTGAGGGTCAGGTGAGGCGCACACCTTTACCTGCACTTCCTCCTGCTTGGGGGTTGGGGATGGCAGCGGCCTATGCAGGACACTCCTCTGGAGGCTGAGTCTCATGGGTCTGGGGAGACAGAGGAGGCACAGCGGATGACCTCTAGGACCCATGAGCACAGTGAGGAAAAGCCTCCAGCAAAGTAATTTAATTTCTGCTGAGGTGAAGCAAAAGAGACAGGTTGATGAGAAGACATACCTAATTTGAAGGAGAAGTTTATTGTAGTTTATTTCATGTAATTTATATTTATATTAAGTGCACTTATTTCTGCTAAGTATTTGGTGGAAGCAATGGCCTCTGAGTTTCAATAGCCTTGTTTGACAGACTGAGGTATGCTCTGTACCTGGCTTTTTATGTTGATGCTGGGAATCAAACAGATCCTTTATGTTTGTGTGGGAAGCACTTCACCAATTGAGCCATCTCCTAACACCAAATAATTGTTTTAAATTTATCTCAAATAATAAAAGATAAGCCTGTGATGGAGGAAGGTCATTGGTTAATTATAATAAACCAACTGCTTGGCCTCATAGCTTAGAACATAGATGGGAGGAGTAAACAGAATAGAATTCTGGGCTGAAGAGAAAGTGAGGTCAGACTCTGCTCTACTTCCGGAGAGACCCGACAGCTCTGCACTCTGGAGCAGAGAAGCCATGCTCAGCCCTCCCAGGTAGATGCAATAGCTCTGCGCTCTGAGGCAGACGCATGAAGCTCCAACCCACGATGGACTTAGGCTAGAATCTTCCCGGTAAGCGCACCTTGGGGTGCTTACACACATTACTAGAAATGGGCTAGTCCAGGTGCGAGAATTAGCCTGTAAGGGCTAGAGTTCATGGGCCAAGCAGTTCTTAAATGAATACAGTTTGTGTGTTGTTATTTCGGGCATGAGCTAGCCAAGCAGCCGGGGTGTTGGGGACGCAGCCCCGCCGCTCTTATTTCAACAAGCCTGAACATGTGTAAAGCCTGAGCAAATATGACAAAAAATAATTAGCTAGAAATGAATAGAATTAAAACTATATATTTGGATGATTGGTTTCAGAGATTAGACATAGCTGAAGACATGATTAGTGAACCGGAGGATAGAACCAAAAACTACCCAAACTCAGCTCATAGATATAAGAAAGTGACAAGGGCTGGAGAGATGGCTCAGTGGTTAAGAGTGCCGTCTGCTCTTCCAGAGGTCCTGAGTTCAATTCCCAGCAACCACGTGGTGGCTCCAAACCATCTGTAATGAGATCTGGCGCCCTCCTCTGGTGTTTGGGTATACATGGAGGCAGAAAGTTGTATATATAATAAATAAGAAAGTGACAGATGGAAGCGGGAGAAAACTATGACATGTCTGTCTGCAAGGAAGGAGGCTGGCGGCTTCATGAGGAGGCGGAGACTGTAACACATCCTTTGAAAGACTGAAGAATTCCCAGATGAACAGAAAGGGTCCCCTGGAGTAATCTGATGTTAGATAATAGCAAGTTGGAGCTCAGTGGCTATCACCTGTTTAACATGTACAAGGCTTTGAGTTTAATCTTTGCATGATAACGGAAATAAATACCAATACATGAATAAGAAAAAGTTCCCCTTCTCTTCAGTTATTGCATAAATATGTTATACTAAGTTAAAAAGCAGACTCCATGTGATTATGATATAAGCTATGATGCTTTTAAATTTGTGTCAAGGGGACAGAAGGGAAATTCTATACCTTATAAGGAAATCTCTATTTAAGCTTTCATGAACTACAAGCATCTAAAGCAGTGATTCTCAACCTTCCTAATGCTGCGACCCTTTACTATAGTTCTTCATGTTGTGGTGACCCCAACCACAAAATTGTTTTTATTGCTACTATATTATAACTATAATTTTGCTACTGTTATAAATCATACTATAAATATCTGATATGTGAAAGGGTTGGTTGACTTCTAAAGGGGTGTGACCACAGGTTGAGAATCACTGTTCTAAAACCTATGAGCCTTCAGCTAATCATCTTTAGCAAGTTCAGTCTCTGCCAAACAGCTGGCAGAAGTTCTTGTGCTGTAACTGAGTTACTTCATTTGTTTTCTGGATGTTCAACTCTAGTGTTATTCCAGGCAAATTTCTTCTTAAATTCCTTTACCATAGGGCTGGGAATATAACTCAGTGCATATGCATGTAAACATGTTCCCTCCCTCCTTCCCCCCTCTCCTCCTCCCCCCTTCACACACACACACACACACACACACACACACACACACACACACATTTTGTCTAGCAACCAAAGGATCCTAGATTTCAATTTCCAGTATGTCTTAAAAACCAAACAAATAAAAACATCATCTGTGTGAGGAAGATGGCTCAGTTAGTAAAGAGCTTGCTATGCATGCAAGAGGGTCTTACTTAAAATCTCTAGCGTCCTCAGTGAGTTTTCTATGACATTGTGTCTCCTAGTAATATCAGAAGCTATGCCCATAAAGTCTCACCGTGACTGTTCCAATATTAGCTGAACAGGGATGACATCAATGAGCATGCCTAACTGGATGGAGAAAATCCTCGAAGCCTCAACCCTACAAAGAACTGTAGGCAACTGAGGAGACCTGGGAGTGGAAGAGGTGGTCTTCTCCAGGGAAGATCACACTAATTGGCTATTCAGTGCCAAATAGTCAGCCTTGAAAACATATGTACCAGTAACATTATTTGGACTGAACAGGTTATATTTAGAAATTTAGAAATTCTATACATACACACACATACATATATACAAACAAACAATTAGTGAAAAGAGGCCATGAATTTGAAGGAGAGCAAGGAAGGTTATGTGGGAGAATTTAGTGGGAGGAAAGGGAATGGAGAAATGTTGTAATTTATAATTTAAAAAATCCCCCCACCAAGAAAAAAAAAACGCTTTTAACTGGGCAGTGGTGGCACATGCCTTTAATCCTAGCACTCAGCAGGCAAAGGCAGGCAGATCTCTGTGAATTCAAGGCTAGTTCCATCTACAAAGTGAGTTTTAAGACGTCTAGGACTACATAGAGAACCCCTGTCTCAAACAAACAAACAAAAGCATCATGGTGTATACTGTCTTCCCAAGACAGAGGCAGTGGGACTTTCAGGCTGTCTAGTCTTCAAATTGGTGAGGTTTGGGTTTGGTAAATGTCTTAGTTACTTTTATTTTGTTGCTGTGAAGAGACACCATGACCAAAGCAACTTATAAAGTAAAGAATTTACTGGGGCTCATGGTTCTGGAGGGTGGGAGTCCATGGTCATAATGGTGGGGAACACAGCAGCAGGTGGGAAGACCTGGCACTGGAGCAGTAGCTGAGAGCTTACTTATATCCTGAACTACAGGTATGTGTCGTAGGAGGTGACTTGTTCGTTCCTGGCAACTCAGAACATGAAATAATTACACAGAAACTATGTTATTTAAATCACTGCTTGGCCTATTAGCTTATGCATATTTCTAGCTCACTCTTATCTCTTAAATTAACCCATTTCTATTAATTTATATTTACCATGATGTTTGTGGCCTACCAGTGAGGTCCCCTTCAGCGGCAACATGGCATCTCACTGACTCCGCCTTTGTCCCAGCATTCAGTTTAGTTTTCCCCTCCTACCTCTGTTCTGCCATAAGCAGCTTCTTTATTAACCAGTGATATTCACAGCATACAGAGGGGAATCCTACATCAAGTATGAGGCAGAGAAAGAGAAAGCTAGTGGAATGGTGTGAACTTCTGAAACATTAAACCTCACCCCCAGTGACACACCTTCTCCAACAGGCCAAATCTTCTAATCCTTACCAAGTAGTCCCACCAACTGGGGTCTAAGTATTCTAATATATGAGCCTATGGTGGTTATTCTCATTCAAACCACATATGGTCTCCATACATGTGTAGAAACACACATACACACACACACATACCAAAAAAAAATTCCTGTTTGCTTTGGTTCTATTCATCAGTGATCCCAAGGGTCCTCCTTCATTTTTCTATAAATTTTTCTGTAGATATAACTCAGTGCTAATA